ATACAATGTCAAAAGAAAACAAGTAGTAATACAGTATGTTTCTACTTACACAAAATTTAAAAGCAAGCAAAATTAAACTATGTTGTTTAGGGATACCAAGGTGGTAAAAGTAAAAAGATAAACAAAGGTGATTATCAGAAAAGTCAGAATAGCAGTTGTCTCTAGGGGTTGAGGCGTCCCTGTGTGGTACTAACAGTGAATTGTGCTTGGGTGCTAGAGATCTCAGTGGCACATCAAAAGAAAGGCCTGGCAATCTACTTCTGAAAACCAGCCAGTAAAAGCCCTATGAGGCATAGTTCTACTATGACACACACTGATCACCATAAATTGGAATCAACTTGATGGCAACTCGTTTTTTTCTAAGGCTTAACAAGCCATGACCAGAAGGAACCTGTGAAAGGTTCAAGGATGTTCTACTTCTGGAATACGTGGAGGTTATAGAGGGGTTCACTTTATAATTTATTACACTGTAAACATATTTGATAAACTTACAAATAAACTTAAAAAAAAAAATTTTTAACTTTGGATGTTCTACATACAGCCTTCCCTGTAAAAAAAAAACCCAAAGGACCTTTCTCTCCCTTATTTCAAGCAAAGAAGAAAGTTAATCTATCATTTCTTCATGCAGCCACTTCAATTTAATAACAAAGATCACAGTCCAATGTGGGAATTGAGGGGTGGACAGGGTGGGAAGAAAACTTTTAAGTGAAGTCTGTTGGGAACTTAAAACATCTGGAACACATGTAATAAAATATAAGGCAACTAAATACAAAGTAACAGAAAAGTTCATATATAACACCTACTGACTGATGTTAACTGACAACTAGAAAACCATCACAGATAAAGAGTGGCCATTTAAAAAGCAGACAAGCAAGAAGCAGGGCACATCAAGGACAAACCAAAGGTGAAAAAATTAAAAGAATACATGTAAGATTGAAAGAAAACACCCCTTATCCTGAAGTTGCCATAAAGGAAAAGGCAGCTCAATTTCACAGAAAATTCAACCACTACTTAATCCTTTGTTTGAAATAGCAACACAAACTGGAAATGGGATATGGAACTGCAAAGGGTCACTGAGAGGTAAACAAATTATTCATCACTGAATCCTAGAAGGTCATCTCCTAACAGACAAATTTTACTGATGAAAACATTATCTACAATTGCAAGTATAAAGGCATATTAAAACTAAAAGTGTCTCCTGGGTTAAATTTAACTGTTCTCTGGTTCAACCGTTTAGATCCTTAAGAAACAAAAATCCCTTGCTGTGCTAAAACCTGGAAGTTGCGCTGACTTAAGTTTTCAGAGAAGAAAACTGTCCAAGCAGCAGCCTGTAGCTGGATTCAAAGGTAGTTTTACAGTACTCAGTGATTTCTGGCAGATAGAGTGATTGACAGAATTTGTAATGTTTCACTATCACCAGAAAATAACTATGCACATCCAGCATATGTAGGATTTTATCTCACCATGTTGCATATTAATTCTGCTACTTGTTCTTAGTACTTTTAACATTCTGTAGAACAAAAAAATATCCTGCCATCCTTAGTCTCCTTTTTAAGTTTTACCTTTGTTCTTAATATACAGTATAGCAGAAATACTCCCATCAGTATCCAATTTGATGAACTGCTAATTTTACTTCCTCTTAGCTTCCTTTTCTCAAATAATATAAAACAAGACTGTAAAACATAAGCTAGCAAAAGATTTGGCTTAGAAAATAGAGCAGCATATTTCTCTGGGATGAATCTAGAATTCTGGCACCAAAACACATTAAAATCCTTTATCAACGGTGACACACGGATTTTAGAAAATTTGAAATAAAAAGAAAACGCAACAGCACTGATTCTCAGGTTGTTCAATTTTGTTCTGGGCAACTTTTCGGCTGAGGGAACTGCAGGGTCCTCAGTTTGTCACCAAAGACTAAAAAGAAAGCCCCTCCTACCCACACAAAAGGGAAAGCTCCATTTACAATTAAGTGGCGTTTTAAAAGCTGTGTTTCACATCAAGCACAGAAAAAGATCCCTCGGGAGCGCGCAGAGGTGACGTGTAGAAGTTGCGCTTTTGGAAGAACTAGTTTCTAATGACAAGCAAGAAGATACCGTTAAAGCGTCCTCTAGAATTAACCTTTCCTCTTCAACACAAAGCAACAGACCATGATTAAGAAACCTAGGGAATAGGGGGCTCGCTGCCCTTTCAAGGCCAGCAGGGCAGCGCCTTCCCCAAGTACCCACCCGGCACATGGGCCTGAGCTCACCGCATTCTTCGAAAATTGGTAATCTCACCCCCCTCGGGCAGGAAGGGTCCGTAAGTCAAACGGCAACACTGGTTAGGTTCACCCCTGGCCAAAGCCACAGCGGCCAGAGCGTCATCAGGACCGAATAAAAAAGGGCCCAGCCGGAAACCTTCCCAGCGCTGCTAGACGCCGGTCTGCCGTCTTTCCGTGGCGCCGCAAAGCCGCCACCCAATGGCAGGGCGCGCGCCCCTAAATTGGGGGTCGCGGGCGGGAGCGCGCACGCGCGCCGCAGAAAGCCGCTATAGCCCACAGGCCGCAGCTCTGGGAGCCAATATCCGGGCCGGGGACGCGCACGTCGTCGGCCACGCGCACCAGGAAGGCCGCACGTCGCGCGCGCCCCCGCGCGTACAAATAGGCCTTGCCCAGAACGCGCGCGCGCCGCGCCCACCCGAATCTTCGGGCTGCCCTTCCCCCACAGACGGAGCAGAGGCGCGCGGGTCCAGGGACGTTCTGGACTCCAGAGAGGCCCGAGGTCTCCAGAGCCCAGCGGCAGCGATCAGCCCGCCCCCGCCCGCCGTTGTGTGGAGTGGGCCCACTGTCCCAGGCCCTCGGCTTCGCCGCATCCCCGCCTCTGCCGAAGTCCTCACCCGGCGACGTCGCCGCCGCCGTCGCTCTGCCCGCCGGCCCCGCCGCACTGCCCGGGGCCCTGTTCTGCCGTCGCCGCTCCAAGACCGACAGGATTTTCCCTTCACAGCTCCCTGAGCGCCATCTTACATTCAACCCCCACAGCCAATAGGTGCCGAATACACCTCTCGCGAGAATCTGAGCGCCCGATCCCGCGAGACTAGGGGTTGCCTCCCGGCCAGACTTAAAGGGAAAGCTTCAGCCCTGCAGGGAGGCCGGACTTTAGGCTAGGAACAGGAGCTTGTTCCAGGGAGTGGGACGGACAGCTCCGCCTACAGACGCCCCTCCACTCAAGGCGGAGCCAAGGCCCAGGCCTAGCCTAGCTTTGGTGGCTGGGTAGGCTTTTGTACCGGCCCTGGCCCGAGGCTCTGTCCCACAACCCACCTTCAGTCGCCAACCGCGGCTTCCTCCGTCCTCGCTGTTCCATATGGGGCGGGGCCCGGCCGGGCCTCTTATTTAAGGTGGCCCTTCACACACCCCTAATTTGGACCGGGTACCACGGCTGCACCCTTCTATTGAACCCGAGATCACTCGCCTCAAATTTAAGTACTGGTATCTGGGACCCCTGATATCAGCTACAGGACAAGGTTGGCCTGCCGCCTCCGGTCCACCTTAATGTGGGCCTTGGGTGGCCGCTGTTTGTATACAGGGAAAATGTGGAGGGTGTTAAAGCTGCAGGCACAGCCCAGGCAGCTTCACCAGCAGCCCACCAGGCCCCAGAGAGCAACCTGGCAGCCTTAAACCTTCAATCCTTTTGCACTTGCTGTGCATGCTTTCCCCAGTCCTGCAGGATTGCCCACTGAAGTTATTTTCTGACACCTTGTTCTGAGGTCCTGACTGGGTCAGGAACCTCTGGCAGCCTCACACAAACTGCATCACCCTTTCATCATCCTTGTGTCTTTCCCTGCTGACTGATGGACTTGGAAAGCTACTGCAGCATTTCTGCCTCATCTCCTTGTGCCCTACATGTAGCAGGCACAGTTATTTGCTGAATGACTGACTAGCTGGATTTCAGGCCTTTCTTCATTTTCCTGTGTGCACAAGCAGTCACAAACCTGGATCCCTCTGGTACAAAGCTCCTGTTCTGGACTGGATTGTGTCCCCCACAAAACATGTGTCAGTTTGGCAGGACCATGATTCTCAGTGGATTGACAGCTATGTAATGATGTAATGTGGCAGTTATGTCACGATCCCCCATGATGTGATAAATTAAAAAGAGGCTGTTGTTAAGTGGTGTCAAGTTGGTTCCAGCTCATAGCAACCCTGTATAGGATTTCCAAGGGGCAGCTGGTGGGTTTGAATCATCGACCTTTTGCTTAGCAGTCCAGTGCTTATCCTACAAGACCTTGATCCCATCACAGCCCTGATCAGAGGTAAGGGGAGTTTCTCTGGGGTGTGGCCTGCAACACCTTTTACTTACAAGAGATAAAAAGGAGAGAGAAGTGAGCAAAGATCAGGAGACTTACTACCACCAAGAAAGAAGAGCTGGGAATGGAGTATATCCTTTAAACCATGAATTTTTCTGCACTGTGAAGTCCATAAATCCAGGGAAGATTGATGCCAAGACACAGGGGGATCTCAAAGGAATGCTGGGCCAACAGATGCTAAAAGGAGATAAGGACCTTTCTCCAGAGTCAATACTCTTGAATGCTGTGAGAATAAATTTACGTTTGTTAAAGCTATCCACTTGTGGTATTTCTGTTAGAACAGCACTAGAAAACTAAGATCACTCCAAACCATAGAACATCACCACTGGGCTCTCTATTCCCTTGAGCCAGGTATAAAGGATACTGAATAAGGCCCAGGGCCCTGCCCTTGAGCACTAAGAAATATTCCAGTGGTTTCAAAGATGTTAGTGCCACTCCACTCTGGGGAAGCCCATTCTCAAAAACAATAGGTATGTACAGTGTACACACTGCACATATACCTAGCATGTCTACAGGAACCTCCAACACTAACAGAGCAGACAGGTAGCAGCACACAGACTCTAGGGGTATTTAGCTGCTCTTTATTGACATGAACTCGGCTAGTAAGGGTGCTTCCAGTCCCCAGGTAGATAAGGTAGCTCCAGGTTCACTGGAACTCCAGCTCACATCTTCCCTGGGTCCTCCTTCAGTGTGACAGTTCGGTTGAAGACAAGCTGGAGAGCAGAGGAGGAAAAATGACGGTCATCGCAGAATCAGGCCAGGGGTCCAGGTGGGTCTTACCAAAGACATAACCCATACTCCATTCCAGACAAGCAGAGGGACTAAGGATCAGAATTGGGCTCACAGTGGCTTTGTGACTTTGGATAAGGAACTGAATGGCCGTACCTGGGGCTCAGTTTCATAAAGATCATAACCACCCCTGGGCCTGCCTCCTCCATGAAGAATAAGAAAGGCAGGATCTGTACAGTTTTGAGCCAGTTTCTCATCAATGGAATCAACCCCTTTAGATGGTAAGATTTAACTGAGAGCACATGGGCAGAATGCTTAGCACGACTGTCAAATTTCTTAAAGGGGGAGGCAGTGAAGTAAAGCACCTGTCCTTGGTGGCTGTCTGGATCCACGGAGAAATACCCAAGACGCTCAAATTGGAATTTGTCAAAGGGTTTTGCCAGGGCCACAGAACAGTCCACTAACGCTACCTTCACCACTTGTAGCGATGCCTGTAAGGAGGAAATCAGGTGATTATCTAGCCAATGAAACCCACCACCCTCAACCCACATCCCATGAGCTTACCTGATTCAAGTCACTTAAGAATCCACCAGGTACCTCAGCAGGATCCTCAGGGTTCTTGTGCCGGAATCTGCAGCCAGAGTAAAGGTCAGAGCCCAGTTGAGCAGCCACAGAAGGCAATGCCCATCTACCTGCCTCCATCCAGCTATGTTCACTCACAGTTGCTCATAGAGGCGAATTTCACACGTCAGCGGCTGGGACACCCAGTGAATGAAGGCTTTAGGCTTCTCTCCAGCATCTGCCCGTCTGCAGGTCACCTCCAAACTTTCTATACTGCCGCTGGGGCCCTGAAAGCAGGGTTAAGGGGTAGGACAGGCAGCTGCAGTTATACTCAGGGGTAGTCATCAGGGCTGTAAGCCATACCCAGAGCCTGGCCTAAGCAGATTCTCTGGAAAGAAAGCTATATCTGACTCTCACCTTGACAACATGTTGCAGCTCAATGATGTAGCCTGTGTGCCTCAGGCCCACAGGCTGGCCCCATGCCAGGCGCTTGTAACCTGGCTCTGGCTCCTGGAGAAAGAGAGATAGACACAAGAGACTTAAGGGTAGAACAGACTCCTTCCCCTGCCCCATGTATGACAGGGGTTAGCTCATCTGAAGCAAGAAGGTGAGGAGATGAAAGGAATCCAGGACCAGACTCAGCAGCACTCATTCACCTCCTTGAAGTCTGTCTGCTCGATGAAGACGACTGATGCAAAGGGAACCTGGTGAAACCCCTTCCTCTCATCAGCTGGAAAGTTAGGCACCTGGATGTCCAAGGACTGTAGCAAAAGACGGGTGTCGGGTGTCTGAGTCTACACCAGGCACTGGGAAACCCAATCTCGGGCCCTACTGTACCCCCTAACACACACATAGAGGCAGGCCTACCTTGGCAGCAGGAAAGTTGGTGATAGTGACCCGCAGTGGCTCCAGCACAGCCATGGCCCGTGGGGCCGTGTCATTTAGCACATCACGCACACAGGCTTCTAGTAGATGTGGTTCCATTGTAGTCTGTGCCACTGTCACACCCACCTGACAGGAAAAGTCAATATTAGTTACAGCCACAACCACAGGACCCCACACTCAACCCCCACCTGCCATCCCAGGCCACTGGGCTGTACCCGGGCACAGAAGTTGTTGATGGCTTCAGGTGGGAAGCCTCGCCTGCGCAGGGCTGTCAGCGTGAAGAGCCGGGGGTCATCCCAGTCCCTGATGGCAAGAAGGTGATAAGGCTTTTAGCAGCATATGCCATCAATACCAACAGCCTTTGATGACTCAAACAGACCTACCGCACAGCTCCAGCAGACACAAGTTGAAGGATCTTCCTCTTAGAGACAACAGCGTAGTGTAGGTTGAGGCGGCCATACTCCCACTGCACGGGGCAATAGACATCCAGCGTGTTGCACAGCCAGAAGTAGGAAGAGCGTCTGGGGTGGGAGTGGAGGCTCAGCACAAGATACCTCTGGGACCAGAGACAGGCCCCAAGAAGAGATGCTAAAATCCCACTGGTCCTACCCACCTCCCACAGGCCCAGCTAGTTCCCTCACCGGGCCTGGAATTCCTTGGTGCAGAGTGAGTGGGTGATGTGCTCAATGGAGTCACACAGGCAGTGTGTATAGTCATAGGTGGGGTAGATGCACCTGTGGGGTACAGGCATTGGGCCAAACCATAGAACCTCAAAATAGTCCATCATCCCACTGCACAACCCAGTCAGCTCACCCCATGCCCACATTCACCAGGTGTCCCCTGTGCGGTGGTGCGGTGTGTATTTGACTCGATAGGCCACAGGGTCCATTTTGCCATCTTCCATTTCCAGTTTCATCCGCAGTGTGGCCTCACCTTCTGCAAACTTGCCTTTGCGCATTGCCTGTGGATAGCGAGGACTCATGCAGACTCTAAGCACAGGAGCACCCCAAACTGAGCATCCTTACCCACCTAGACACAATAGCTCCTCCAAGATCCCACCTCAAACAACAGCAGTGATTCCTCCACAGGACGGTCCCTCCAGGGCGAGGGCAATGGATTGTGGCCTTTGAGTTCCTCTCCTCGCTGGTGGCAGACATAGGCCTGGCCCCTGTGGGGAGGGGGTATAAGCTTCCAGCCTGGCTGTGACCTCGTCAGCATGCCTTGGCTCCACATCAAGGCACTGATCTCACCTGCGGATGAGCTCTAGGGCCCAGGCATATAGTTGGTCGAAGTAATCAGAGGCATATGTCACCTTGTAAGGTGTGTAACCTGGGACAGAAGGAGACACACTATGAGCAGCTACCATAGACACTCAATGGCTGGATGTGGCCCAAAGATAGGCTCACTACCCTCTGCTCTGCCCAGACCATACCCAGCCAGGACACCATGTCGTAGATGGCAGTAAAGAACTTTGCTTCCTCCTTTTCAGGGTTGGTGTCGTCATAGCGCAGAAAGCAGATCCCATTGTTGGCCTAGAGGAGTCACAGAATTTGTAAGCCCCCAGTATAACTCTATCAGGACCTTCTCAGAGCTCTCCCAGGTCAGAAATGAAAATACTTTCATGAGCTTCTGTCATCTTCCAAATCTAAATGTCCCAGATAAAACACCTCTTATACCAACTTGCTACAAAGAACACACCCTCTTTGAAGTTGAGGAATTGCACTGAGGATTCACACAAAGGTCAACTCACTGCCTTACCTCACAGCTTCTTCACAATGAGTACCATGGATCCCCAAACATCTGTCACATATGTGGTTACCCCACACCCCCTCCTTGGGCTCTGCTTACTCTGATCATGTTATCAGTAACAGTAGGGAAGACAGAGATATTCAGTGTGATATTCAGTCATGGGGGCAGTATATGGTCACCTTGCTTGTCAGGTCCCCAGATGCACGCTCACCTTGGCATAGCCAAAGTTGAAATTGATTGCTTTGGCATGTCCAATATGTAGGATTCCATTGGGCTCTGGTGGAAAACGGGTACGCACCTAAGATAAAGAAATGCGAACAGAAGAATGAAGCCACAGCTCAGACTACCCAAAGGAAACAGATGTTCCTTCCCAAAGAGTTCACAGTGATAGGTGACAGGGGCACCATATAGTTGGCCCAGGTACCCAATCAGGTGCTAATGGCAGTAGCTCCCTGACCATTCTCACACACACCTGTCCCCCAGTGATCTCCAGGTGCTGCTTTAGCAGATTCATAGTATATGGGGTGGTCACATAGCCTGGGGTCTTGTAGTTTTCACCTACCAGGACCAAAACAAGGGGTGATCAGAATGAAGCCCAAGATACCTGTTTCCAGGGTCCTGAATGCAGAAGCTGCTACCAAAGCCCAGTCTTGCCCAGTGTTTCAATCTACACACTCACCAGGCTTGTGGAACTTGAGCGCCTCTCCCCGGAGCTGTTCCATCAGGGACAGAGCCTGGTCAGCACTCATACCTGCAGATGAGATCAAGGAAAACTTGTCCTCTGGATATGGCTACAAGATCCTCCCATAAAGGAGGTGACTTTCAGTACCACCCATATCTTGTAACCAGAACAGAACTGAGCAGGTCCTTCTTCCTCAGACCCCAGAGGCAAGAGATACAGAGCCAGATTCCTGTGGCCTCCTCTGGTCATTCCTTTAGCGAAGGTAACTAAGGAAACACTAGGAATCCCAGACTTGAGGCAGAAGGCAGTTAGATGTTGAAAAAGCCAAGGACCTGAGGAGACTGGGCTGAGGACCCAACAGGAACAAGGCCCAAAAGTCAGGTTGCTGAATCTGAAAGAAGTCTCAAGCCTCTTACCATTCTCCACCACATCCTTTGCTTTCCTCCGGTCTGTTTCTTCTGGCCGAGACTTCACTACCTAAAGGAGACCCAGAGGCTGACTCAAGGTCTCTCCTCGGCAGGCTCTTGTGATCCCTGGGATCACACACTCCCTTCCCCAGCCTGAAGTTCCACTCTACTCCATCACACCCAAGGACCCAGGGCTATACCCAGTCCCACCTTGGCTTTTTTGTCCAGATCAGACTCCATCTTGGGACCCAGAAGGTGGAGGACCTGAATAGAGACCGGAGTTAGACCTAGGGTTAGGAGTGTCCTCCTAAGGATTTCCTTGCCTATGTGTAAGTCATTCCCCGGTTCCCATCTCTGATGTGACAACATGCTTAAGGAGCCTTGCTGGTGTTACAGGATAAACACTAGACTATTAACTGCAAGGTCAGAAGTACAAAGCCACCAGTCACAGGATAAAGATGAGGCTTTCTGCTTTCTTAAAGATTTACAGCCTCAGAAACCCTATAGAGAGCCACTATGAATTGGAAGGGCTCTGGTATAGTACTGTAGGGTAAGCACTGGTCTGGTAACTGAAAGTTAAGCAGTTTAAACCCACCAGTTGCTCTTGAAATCCCTACACAAGGTAATTATGAGTCTGGACCAACTTGACAGAACACATGAGCCAGATTTGACTTGATAGCAGTGGGTTTTTTGGGCGAGGCCCTGCTTAGGTCATTCTACCTCTCTGTTCATAACATGATTCAGCTGGCCTCAAAAACACTCTCCCTCCTGAGAGTCTACACTAGATACAGGCAACGAGGACTGCTATTTACAGTGTAGTTAGCATCAACAAAAGTGTTGGATCTCAGCAATCACCCTCCTGTAATCCTATACCAGCAGCCTGAGGTCAAGGCCCTAGCATCCCTACTTATGGGATAAGGAATCTGAGATTCAGAGTAAGTGCCTCCCTCGCCCCAAGTTAGGCATGGCACAGCACAGTGGATCAAGTTTGACTCCCCACCCAGGTATTGACCCCTCTACACCTCAATCTATTCTTCACTGCCAGAACAGCAAAAGGGTATCCTCTCCTCTTTTAGCCCTCTGTGGATTCTAGGCCCTGTCCATGCCAAGCTCTTCAGCCTGCTTCAGTTCCGGGAGGTACCTACCTGCATGTCCACTTCATGCTTGATCATTTTGCCATCAGCCCATTTGAGAACAGCTCGAGCCTCTCCTATAAGTACAGGCACAAGGAGCTACATGAAACCAAAGAAGGGTACCTTCCCCCACCCTACCCCAGATATCCAGCTCCAAGGAAAGATCCTGACTGACTGACCACAGGAAACAAATCCTGGCCCAGCCAGACGGCTATTAGGTTGCTTTTGCCCCTCCCCCTACCTCCTCTCACTCCCGCCCAAAAGTGAAAGCATATGACCTGAAAAAGACAGCTGACAGTCCCAACTTCAGATATTGCTCACCCATCAGGAGCCCCATGTTGAAATGATAACGTTCAACCAGGAGCTGAGACTGGTGCCGATTTATGACGGCCTCCACCTGCAAAAAGCCAAACCATGTGATTTAGAGACGCTCCCTGCAGGCACACTTTAGAAGCCCTCACTAAATCCTCCGGGATGAAGCAACTCATTCCCATGGCCAGTCCTAGGGAGGCAGCCGCTGGGGAAAGACTCACTGCCTCCTCTATTTGCTCTGGGGTCACCACGACGTCCACGCCACATTCCCTCTCAAAGTCCACGGTGTTGATGGGGTCCAGGGGATGACCGCGCACATACTCAAGGGCAGCTGAGAAAGGAGGGGCAATGAGTCTGTGGCTCTCAGCTCCAATAACGGGTAGACGCGGCCCCAATCCCATAAAATCGTAACCACAGATTGGTCTCCTGGGAGGTTGGGTCCTTAGAGAAACCTCAAGGTTCCCCTCCCAGTCTCACCAAAAGTCAACCATCAGTGCCAACCAAGGCCCTGCTAGACAGAACTAGGAACTAGAATACCATGGGAAGACTATGGCAGAAAGGCAGGGGGGCTCACCGCTCAGCTGGGGCTCGGTGTGTATCTTCTTACTGGCGATGTAGCCCACGAGAAAGGGGAGACGCCGGGGATCCTTAAGTCGGGAAGCCAAGCCATATAGCAGGGTCCCAGTAGCCTTGTCGATGGTCGAGCCCAGAGTCTGCTGCGCCTGTTTTTAGAGGAGTCAGGAGAGAAGAATCATGCCATGTGAGGGGCGAGAGTAACAAGAGAGGAGAGGCCGGAATCGGGACACGGCCGGGAGTTGCTGGGGCAGGGCAGTCTGCTGCCCGGGCCAGGGCAGAAAGCGCACACCTGCGTGGCCGCCTGGCGCAGCTGCGCGCTCAGAGAAGTGTTCTTGAGCGTCTCGAGGGCCTTGTGTTCGCTCAGCCCGAGGGCGGTGAACAGAGACAGGGAGTCCGGAGTCGCCATCGCGGGAACACCGGAAACCGAAAGGAAACTTTGAGGCCAACCTGAGCGTTGGCATTAAATCAGTGACCAATAGGGGAGCGAAGCTGCCGGGGAGAGCCAATGATGTCCTTTTTGGTAGGAGTGGGCGGGGCTCGCCAGGGTCGTCGTCGCCATTAAAGGGACCAAAAGCTTACAAAGTGGTCCTTCCGGGTCCTGCGCTTCTGTTCCCCCGGCTTGAGTCACCTAAATTCGTAGTTGGGACAGCGGGGCAAAGCCGGACTAGAGGTGAAATTTGTCACCGTCCTGGAAGAAAGGTGTTCCGCGCCAAGCAAGAGGCAAACGCAGGTGTGGATTTCTGAGCTCTGATTTTTCTCCTACAACCCTGGGAACTCCCTCCCAATAGTGTGCTCGGGTAGCAAAAGTGACAGAGCGTCTCTATTGCGTTTTTGACGTCACAGCATTGGTGTTGTCATGGAAACAGTAGAGCAAAATGAAGCCCGGGAAATCTTTGGTAGAGATTCCAGCACAGACAATGTGCAGAAAGGCCAATGATGGAGGCGCCCCATAAGCTAGGCACTTTTCCAGCCCGCCAGGGTATCTCCGTCCCCCTGGCTTCCCACACACACTGTTGGGGAGAGGTTTGAGCTGGAACTGACCTCGCAGATGATGATTTGGTTTAAAATCTAGCATATTTCACCACTTTACTAAAGCTTGAAAATGTATGCAAACTACAAGCAGATTAGACCTTGAAATCCGTTTACAAACCTTCAAGACAATATTTTATTGAGGTTAGGACAGGGTTGTGTGCCAGTGAATTTATTCCTACTCATAGCAACCCTATGGAGCTCTGGTAGTGTAGTGGTTATGTGCTGTGAACCGCAAGGTCAGCAGTTCGAAACTACCAGCCGTTCCACGGGAGAAAGATGAGGCATTCTGCTCCTGTCAAAATTTACAGCCTCGGAAACCCTGTGCAGGGTCACTGAGTCGGAACCAACTCCATGGCACTTTAACAACAACAACAACATAGCAACCCTATATATGACAGAGTAGAACTACTAGACTTTAATCTTTACTGGGACAGACAATCAGTTCTTATCTCCTGCAGTGTGGCCAGGTCAGTTTGAACCACCAAACTTTCAGTTAGGCACCAACAAGGTTGCTGTTGTTAGGTGCTGTCAAGTCAGTTCCAACTCATAGTGATCCTTTATAGGGTTTCTGAGGAGCAGCTGGTGGGTTTGAATCTCTGACATTATGATCAGGAGTTCAATGATTATCCTATAGCACCATACCAGGAAAGGTGAAATGTAATCATTAAGATGATGGCTATTATCCTTGAGTCTGAACTCCCATGAATTGCTAGGGGTCTCCAAGCAAAATTAGAAGTTAGAGAGTTTTGGAGTGTGGAGGTGGAAGAGGACTGGTGTTTCTGATGGTGGTATGGTAAGGGGTTTCTCAAATTTGGGATTTGAGCTCAGGTTCTTAAGAGGCATTAGGTGATTACAGTCCTAGATCTTCAAGGGTTGGCCAGTATCTGACAGTTGTCTACATCCACATTCTGCAGCTTGTTTTGTGACTAATGACCAAGCTGTATGTCAGAGTCTACATTTGAGTTCCATATGATGGGCATGTCAACTTCTGCCTAGGGACATAGGCTGTATCAGTGTGCAGATTCAGCCTGTGTTTTGGGGCTTCCCACCTTTTCATGGCCCCAGACTGATGCCCAACCCAGCCCTGTAGTATACTAGTGAGTGCAGAGGCAATAGAGGCCACAGCAACTTCGTGCAGATACCACAGAGGGTATAGTGCAGAGGACTCCAGAGCAGAAAGGCTCAGGATCTCTGCATCTAGCACATGCAGGCATCCAGTGACCAGGGAGCCCACACAGTTGGGACTACACACAGTAAAGACTCAGCATAGCCCTGTTGCTGCCCATGCTTAGGAGGCCCTTCAGCAGTATCATACCACTAACACCCAGCTTACCATTTCCACCATTTCCATAGGGCCCCAAACTGAGTTCTCTAGTCCCCTTTCCAGGGTCGGCAACCCAACATAGTCCTTGAGCCATTGTCCCTACAGGAAAAAGCCAAGGTTCCCTCTGTTTACTGCCCTGGGCCAAGTGCATCTGAGGCTGAGAAACATTGGTGAGTCCTATACATTGAGAGCTTCATGTGAGACTGGGTCCATGCCCCACCTTTGCCTGTCTTACTCCCTCTCTGGCTTCTCTGAACATCTACCTTCAGCTAGAGACACCCACTCCTGCACCCAAGCAATCAAAGAGGAAGAGGCAGCTTTTTTCAAAGAGGCAAGGGGGCTTCTCACAATTGCCCTTGAAGTATGTGTGAATATGGCTACAGAGGCTCAGAGGCTCTGAGAAGCCTATGGATAAACAGCTTGGGGCTGTTGCCAAGAATTAACGTCTCAGGGACTCTTGAGATGGTCTTGCAGGGCCCTACACCCTCCAAACCATAGGAAGTCAGCCATGATTGGCTGTGGTTTCTGCCTGTCCTCCTTTTAAGGAAAGATCTCCTGCCTTGCTGCATAATGGTTTCTGCTCTCCCCTCAGAGAGACACAGTTAGTGTTCAAACTACAGCAAAGAAAAATCTGAAAGCCGGAAAAGATGAAGAAAATCCTATTGAGACTGGAGCCCAAATCCTTGCTATTTTCCTCCAGGCTGAGCCTCAAGATTAAGGACTCAGCTCTTCTCATAAACCTCAGGAATACAAAATAAAACCAGAATGGCACTTGGTCACCTTTACAGAGCAGGTCACAGCTCTGTCATGGGTGGGCCTTCCAGAAAGCTGTAACTTCTGCTGTCTCCCACAAGAGCCTCCCCCATCTGCTATCTGGTGATCCACAGACAGGGTGCTCCAGTGCCTGAACCTTTTACCTTTTCTAGAGCCTATTAGCTACTCCTCCATCCTTTAGGCATAATGTCTTGACAGTCACCTCCCACTTGACAATGGTACCCAAGGCCAGTGGACGCAGAGGATAGCAGGTATGCCACAAAGAGCTGATAGCACTGGGAACTTCATGAGCCTCGTCCCTCCATGCTCACCATCTCTCCTCAGACTAGGGCACTTTCAAAGACACATGTATACTCTATGACAGGGAGAGGAGGTGGCCACAGCACCTGGTACATCACAGACACTAAGTCTGTTTATTATTATTTATTTTTAAAATATATTTAAACAGCAGCAACCACTTGAAAAATGAAAAAAAATTACAATTTTTAGAATAAAATTAATGTTTATAATGTGAATCATAAAGAATTGAAGGTACAACTGAGAATCAAATCACGCTGCACTACAGGTGGCTGTAGAAGTCAAAGCCCGCTAGTCAGGGGCCAAGCGGAGAAGTATCCCACCCCCCCCAAATCCCCACTGATGGAGCCAGTGTCCTCTAGGTTAGAAAAGGAGAAGCAGCAAAGAGCTGGTCATCTGTGGGGGAATCCCCAAAACCCAGTCCCCCCACCTGGCAGGGACCTGCTAATCGACCTCCTCCATGTTGCTGTAGGTGGGGGCTGGGCGGTCCACAGGGGGGGCGAAGCGCTCAGGGGCTGTCCGCGGGGGGGCCGCCTCGGGGGCCTGGCCAGGGCCTAGTCCCTGCAACAGAATATGAGGACAGGGGTTGGGGGCTGCCCTGCATGCCTGGCATCCCGCAGGTGCTGGCTCAGAGCCCTGGCACCCAAGGGAGGGCCCCAGGGCAGGCGCAAACAGCAGCAGCATTGAGACAGAGAGACGAGATTGGGCCTGAACAGTCTCGCTTTATTAACACTTTTAAGTACAGGATGCAGCTTGGACAGGGCCAAGCCCCAGGCCAAGGGTGATAGCAGCAGGATGAATGGACACACAGCTGGTCGATAGCTGCCCTACGACACTAAGCCCCATTTGGGACCACAGTACCCACCCTCTCCTCCCAGATGCACACACTGAGGCCCAAAGCCCAGAGTCGGTCCCCACCACAGAGGCAGCCTGGCCTGGCCTGGCCTGGCCTGGCCTGGCCTGGCCTGACGGGCAGGCAGGTGGGCCAGTTCACAGCAGCTGCCTGTGGGCAAGCTCATCTCCAACGACTCTGGGACACCAGAGGATAGAACACGTTGAGCACGAGGGCCACCAGAGCTGCCACGGTGCCCAGGACAAAGTACCGGAGGCAGCCCTCGTCTGGTGTGGTGGGGCCACGTGGTGGGGGCCCCACCCAGTCTTGGGGCCCCCAGGGACCCAGGGGCCCAGGCCCCTCAGGCACCGGCTCCTCCTCTGCCTCCAGCTCCTGCCAAATCCGGGAAGCCTACAGTGTGCGGAAACGGCCATCAGCACCCAAGGGTAGAACCGGTGTCCCTGTGACCACTGGTACCCAACCCACCAAAGAAGTATCCATGATGGGCAGTAGTCACACTGCCACTGTCTCCTCTGCACGTGAAGCCACTGAAGGCTCTGTTGCAGCACCATCACCACTATCGCTGAGTCCTTTAGGACAGAGCTGCTTATCACAGGTCAATCTTCTGGTCCCCTCCCACCCAAGTCCAGACCCTGACCAGTCTTCTACAGGGATCTCTCTGAGCTCAACGAAAGAAAGAAAGCAGCAAGGAGGAGCCCAGTTCAGAAAGGAGATGTGGCTGTGCCCAACAATCTGACCTATGGCACCTCATGTCCACAAGAGTCAAAAGACCTCAAAGGCTCAGTGGAGAACAAGGCTCATGTCAGAGAGGGTAACTGCCATCCAGGGCTATGGCCAGCCGTACAGGTCCTGCCCTGGGTAGATACCAGAACACAGGGATAACAAGGGAGAGTCAATGAGCTGACTCGAGGGGGAGCACAAGGAAGGAAGCTGGGAGAACATCAGATATAGTCTGCTCATGGCACTATGTCCAGTGAGGTTTGGAGTAGCCTATGCCAAGTGGGTGCCTATGTGTACACTGGTGGCCAGCTGATGTGTATATATACCTTTGTGAGGATCCCTTGGGCATGGAATGCTTCTGGCTAAGGCTCTTGTCTGTGATTCTTGCAAGTACCAAGCCTCCAAGGGCATGTGGGTGCAGAAGAGA